ATTTGGGGCTGACTATACCCTGGGAGTGTTTGTGTATCCTTGTGTATGTTTAGTGGTAAGAAGCCACGGATATATGATTTTTCTCTCTGCCTTGTGGATTCACGCTCTGTCTGATTGTCTGTCCGTTTATCTGATAGTGTGTCTATTTATCTGTCTGTTTGTCTGTCTGTCTGTCTGTATGTATGTATGTATGTATGTATGTATGTTTGTCTCTCTCTCTCTCTCTCTCTCTCTCTCTCTCTCTCTCTTCTCTCTCTGTATATATATATATACATATATATATATATATATATATATATATATATATATATATATATATATATACATATATATATATATATATATATATATATATACATATATATATATATATATATATATATATATATATATACATATATATATATATATATATATATATATATATATATATACATACATATATTCAACAGCCATTCATTCCACTGCAGGACGTAGGCCTCTCTCACTTCAGTATTGAGAGGTTATATGGCAGTGTCACCCTTGCCTGATTGGATGCCCTTCCTAATCAACCGCGGTTCGGCGCGCTAACACTTGTGTCCACGGCGGTGACTTCCCCTACGACACCTGCGCTTGACTTCTCAAGCCGATATGTCGTTTCCTTGGGCTCGAGGTAGCAGTCAGAGAGCAGTCATTTTTACGACTGCCGCGACGGGGAATTGAACCCGGGACCAAGAGGGTCGGAGTCCAGCGCTCTAACCACTGAGCTATCGCGGCAGTGTACATACACACACATACACACACACACACACACACACACACACACACACACACACACACACACACACACACACACACACACACACACACACACACACACACACACACACACACACACACACATATATATATGTCTGTCTGTCTAGCTATCTGTCTATCTCTCTCATTTATTCTCTCTCACCCAAACCTCTCACTCATTCACTCAGCTCACATCCACACAAACAGCCAGCTCTTCATAAATCTTCAACTGCAAACCCTGTATAACCAATCACCTAAACAGCAACGAAGAATAACGAAAAAAAAATGTATAAATACAATACATAAAAATGCTCGGCCATATAATAGTGAAATGTAAAATACATTTGTTTTTCGTATAGAGAATCCACGTCAAGTTAACATCTTTACTTTAATTCTTGTTTTTGCCTGTTCTGTTTTTCCGTTAAAAACAACTGATATGCGAAAAAGGTTTTTTTTAACCACTTTTTTGCGAAAACATTTACCTGGTCTTATTTGCAAAAGCTCTTCTGAAACATTGTGACTGATCTTTCAGAACTGAGTTAAATGACTCTGTTTTCGGTTATGTGTGTGTGTGTGTGTGTGTGTGTGTGTGTGTGTGTGTGTGTGTGTGTGTGTGTGTGTGCACTTTGTGAGTACAGTCCCTGCCACTTCTAAATTCACCACTCTTTGTTGTCTACGTGTGAACAACCAGTTTTTTAATCCGTATCCGAAACACATGTCCCAACTCGTATTGACATATGCTTCGAATACAAGAGTCGAAACTAGCAGCTCACACACTGGCAACACTGAGTACAGAATATGGAAGAGAGGGGATTGTACACATATGTATGCATGGGTAGATAGATATGTACAGAAGCAGTTATGTACTTGAATTATAATCAACAATTTAAAATGTTTAGCATATGTAGAAATATGGGATATTTCTACATACGGGAAAGCTTCGTCAGAGTCGCCTTTCAATGCATGCTCTTGCTGATAATCCTAGCACATGACTTCAAAGAGAGAGAGAGAGAGAGAGAGAGAGACAGACAGACAGACAGACAGAGACAGACAGAGAAAGAGACAGACAGACAGACAGACAAAGTAAGAGAAAAAAGAGACAATGTGAAAAGGAAAGAAAAGAAGAGACAGACAAAAACAAAAAGAAAAGAAAAGAAAAGAAAGACAGAGAGAGACATACATGCAAGCAGACAAAGTCAGGCAGAAAGAGAAAAAGAAAGAAAGAGAGTGAGAGAGAGCGAGCGAGCGAGCGAGAGAGAGAGAGAGAGAGAGAGAGAGAGAGAAAGAAAGAGAGAGAGAGAGAGAGAGCCTTCACTCCCCCGGTCACGAGCTAAGCCGTTCTCCCGAAAAGCCGAAAGTGCAAAGCCTGAAGCCAAACACAGGTCGTTGCGAAACACTCGTTAGCCGAGAGACCAGAGAGCCTCAAGACTGAGCTCCTTGGAAACTCTCTTTGAGTACAAGTGTAGTTCAATCCATAAAGTAAGTGTGGGAACTGTGACCGGCAGAAAGTAAATGATAGTAATATAAATGACGATGATAATAATGATAATTATAATGATTATTATAATTATGATTATAATAATGATGATAACATTAGTAATGGTGTTAAAGATGATGATTAAAGACAATAGTAATAACAATAATAAGGATATTAACATTAATGATAATAATAATGACAATGATGGTAATAATATCAATAATAATAATAATAATATTAATAATG